AAGCAGCCTCACAAACCTTTTCGGCTACGTGTCCTAGGTTCAGGAGATGATGTGGCTTGTTGGAGCCTGAGGCAGAACAATGAAGGGAAGGAAGCTGCGCCCTCCGCCTGATGCACTGCCCCCTGACGGGGAAGCCCTCACAAAAAGACCCACAGAAATGCGAGCACCTGGCAGCAGGGTGCAGCTGGGGCCGGATGGTTTTGTGCAGTGCCAGCCACCCAAGGACAGGTAACGCTGTGCTCATACTCAGCTCGCTCCAGGTGTGTTCACACTTCTCTTTGCTGAACCCCATAAAGTTACTGTTGGCCCATTTCTTCAGCCTCTCCTGGTCCCTATGGATGGTCGCACAACCTTCTAGGTGTATCCACCGCTTCTCCCATCTTTGTATCACCTGCAGACTCACTGAGGGTGCAGCCCACACCATTATCCTGCTCAGTTAATGAAGAGGTCAGACAGTGTTGGTGTCAGCACCAACCCCAGGGGTCGATGGAGGTGGTGCTACTGATCTCCTGCCCAGGTATCAAGGCAAGACTGGCTCTCCTGTAGCTTCCCAGATCATCCTTCATGCTGTTCCTAGGAGTAGTGTTTGCTGCCATCCAGGCCCCAGGATCACCACAATCTTTCAAAGAGACTTGAGAGGGGCCTTGCACTGCCATCAGGTGGCTCCCCCAGCACCCAAGGGTGCATCTAACCAGCTCCTATGGCTCCAGGTACACCCTTCTTGGTTAAATGTTCCCCAGCCTGGTCCTCTGAGGCATGGAGTACGAACCTTTGGAGTTCAGTGCTGCAGGGGGATGCTGTTTTGCCTACTTCCAAAAGGATTTTCACAGTGATAGTAAAATTGCAGGGAAAAAAAAAAAAGAAGATATGTGGTGAAATGGAGGAAGAGTCAGAGGAGGTATGACCTCTGTCAGAAAGCAGAAAGGCCAAGAGCAACAAAGGAAGGAAACAAACTGGCATCAAAAAAAAAAAAAAAAAAAAAAAAAAAAAAAAGATAAAAAAATCCCTATTTATATTTTAAGCTGTTCCTTTAAAAACAAACAAACAAACAAACAAACAAAAAAAACACTAAATTTTCCCCAAACAAAAGAAAATATCCTGTCCCCACCACAGATGTAGTTTCCTAAAGTTGGTTTTAGATAAGCTAACATCTGGAGAAAACACTATAGTATCAGTGTATTTGTTATTAATGCTTATTTTTAACATTTGTGGCTCTTTAAACAAAAATCTGCAAGATGAATAAGCAATCAGATGTATAATTCCAGGAGACATCAATTGGTTATATCCATAGTTTTTAATCCTTCTATAACCTAAATAAATAGAAATCTGCAGAAAACAAGGCTTCCAGCTCTCACATTCTGTAATTTTTAGAAAGGAACAACAAATGGGATATTAATAAAGACCAGATTATACAAATGAAATAACAACAGTGTCCTCCACCTTCAAATCCTCCATCTATAAATCTTTGTAATGCAAAAAATAAGTACCGAGCATGAAGGAAAATCGAAATTTCCCTGCATTTACAGAGCCTGCACAGTAATAGGGCGTTTGAAATGACTTCCCAAGGAGAGCAGGAAACCCTAACTTGAGTCTCCGTAGGGACTCCCTAGCACTAAAAAAGCACGTCCCAGTGCAGGGCTCCCTCCTGGCCCTGCTCCCCAGAGATGCAACGGTTGTGAAGGATCCTAAAACCTCAAGCTGTTTGCTAGCAGAAACACACTGCGCCCTTAAAGCTAATGGTATAGCCTAGGCTAATACAGATACAATCCCGTGTCTTTGTGCTAGTGTCTTTTAAAGGCCGAAACGCCTCCCAGGGACAGGCTTTAATTTGTCTGATCATAACGACGGCATGTGATAGGCACAGCAACCGCGAGCTGCTGCGAAGGCACTGGATGGAGCCGAATGATGCCGGCTGAGGCTGATGTGATCAGACACCGAATATGAGAGACATTGTGGTGCTGTGCTGTGAGCTACAGGCACATCTGATACCGAGGGAACCGGGGGAAGCCAGCATCCAATTTCCAGCACCGCACCATTGCCTGTAGTCACTGCACTCCTGCGTGGCCAAACACAAGGCCGTGCTGACTTCCTGCTCACCCCATGACAGAAACAAGGAAACATGAGCTGAAAACTGCTGCTGAATCTGATCCCTGCCCAGCGATGTTAGGAGCTCCTGGGGAGATGGAGACTTTGGAGCACAATGTAATGTAGGTGGCAATCGACTGAGAAGCTTTCAGGCATGTGGTGACTTGGGGGAAGACAGAGGCAAGGGCAGGGACACGGAGCCAAGATGGATTTCCTGCCTGTGACAGCATCGCATCTCAGGTGCCGGAGGGGTTTTGGTGTCTGCAGTGGGATGTGCACTGAAGCACAATCATTGTCAACGAGAGGCATTTCAATCTGCCACTCGATGATGACACTGCCTCACACGCGTTTCAAAAAGCCAAGCAAAAATGGCTCAAGGCCACAGCAGTGCCCACAACGTTCTCAAAATAGCAGCCGATTTCTTGCTATTTGCATCTTCTTTTGATCCTCCAGCAGATCATAGGACAAAGCACACGGTAAAATGATTGTCCTAGCACAGAAAGCACAGAGGCAGCAAGTATCTCCAGTCACAACAAAGGTAGTAGGGCTTCGTAACATAAAACACAGTAAAAGGTTTATATGGATGCTGAAATATAGGTGAGGGAAATGTTTATGCCATGCTTCCCACACAAAGGGTGAACCAGTGGCTCCTGGGCTCCGAGCTGTGCCTGACAAGCCCCACGTGGTCATTTGGGCCCAGGATCTCCGTGTTCACTGTATAAAGCTTGTAAAACACGTCAGGACCCATTTTCTGATCTGACACAGCGTGGCTCGTCATCCCTCACACCCAAAGCAAGGCAGCCTGATCCACCCAGCACTGGCAACTGATCCCCTGCGTGAGCCGCCCTGTGCCAGCACCACTAAAGACAGAGGGCTCCCGATGAAGGGGGACAAACAGCCACTGCCCCAGTGCATCCCCCAGGGGGGACGAGGCCAACATCTCGTCTTCATGCCAACAAGCCCCAGGTGTTAAGCTAGAGGCAAATTTCTGAAGGAAAAGAACTGTGCCTCAAAGACCTGAAAATGCAATACTTGTCTCAGAGCGGCCACAGGCAAACGAGGTATGGAGATGGAGAAACCCTACAAGTTCCCATGGAAAAACAAATTACCCGCTGTGATAGCATAGGTGGAACCGCTTCTAAATGAGGGGTGAGAAAGCAACCCGCCCCACCAAGCTGTGTGGGTGCCTCTCCACAACTGCTCGCTGTGGCGTTGACAAGCGGCCCAGTTCAGTGCTTGGTTCTCGGTTGTGTTTGTGGCAGGCTGGCCTGGTAACCCCTGCTGGAAGACTGGCTCTAAAACCTAGCTGAGAACCTGAAATCCTTCAACCACGGCTCTTCGCTATCTCTTCACCCTCTGAAAATGCTGCCAGCAAAGCCCAAAGCTTCTCTTGACTCTGCCCAAAGCATCATTAGCTCCTGCTGTGACGCACACCACTTGGTGCAAAGGCTCGTTTCATGCCCAATTGTATTCCCCATCCTTTTTATTTTTCCTTTAGCTCTCCACTAACAGTTTCAGCACCCTGTTTACCTTTCTGGCTGCTGCTGCGAGGTGAGCAGAGGCTTGGGGAGGATGAGTCACGGTGACTGCAGCACCTCAGCACCTACAGCTGCACTCCAGCACCAGGCCTCCTTTTCCGACCTCTGTTCCTTCCCTTACATTGATGGATTCCAGTTGCCCCTCAAAATACTCCATCAGCTTTCATTTTCAGTACCTTGACTAACTTTATCTCAGCAAGCTGTCGTGCTGCTGCTCACCATGCACAACCCAGGGGCTGGCACAGCTCTGCGGAGCTCCAAAGGGAGCAATTTAGGAACTGCTGACGCTGTTTTCCGTGTGGTAACGTCATGCTGAGCAAGCCTGAATTTCGGGATGCATAATTTATCAACTGCCCATATTTATTTGGGATTGAGTGGACTTTGCTTTTGTCCAGAACACAAAAGCTGGTTCCAGACAGCAGAAAAACCAGCAGCAGGGATGGGGGAGCAGGGGCGTACGACCTGAGTGTAAAGGAGAGAGATGACACTGACATTATCAGGAGGGAGCAATTATAACCACGCTCGTGCTTAATCAAAACCACGTCGCTGTTCAACAGGAACAGAGCTTGGGCAGTACCCCGTGTTACTGTTTCATTACTCCAGGTATTAGTGGGATTGTTCTAGGAGTAAAGCCTTTGAGTGCTCTTCATCCATTACAAAGCATTTACATCTTCAGGAAATGACGTGCTCCTCTTTGCTTCAGCTGCAGAACAGAATAGTTAAGCCTCTGCTCACATCATTCCCCAAAGAGGCACTATAATTATGCTGGAGATATCTAACATCACATTTTACTACCACTGTCAGGACGATCAAGTTATAAATTGCAAAATCCAGCGGCTGACCCAAGACTAATCGGGTAGTTTCTGTGTTCCAGGTGAACAATCACCAGAAGACCAGGAACACTTAACCTACACGACAAATTTCTCAGACCAGCTCCAAGAAATGTGATACTTTAATGCATCGCTCAGCTCCCCACACTACCACCAAGCCACCTACGAGCAGAGAAGGCAACTGGCTTCCTACTTCCCCCCCCCCCCCTTAGCATTTGGTTGCCTTTTTTATTTTTAAAGCTACAACCTCACTATATATAGCTTATATAATTATATATAGCTTAAGTAACTATATATAGCTTAGATAACTATATATAAGTAGTCATTTAATGAGTCTCGGTTTCAGGTCACTCTTCCTTAGATGTATACACATGATTTTTTCTCTCCTCTGTATTTACCCCATCGCAAAGACAGTTAACCATGCACTGGTTTAAAGGGAAAATTTTTTTAAAAGTGCTTAAACGTGTATGTAAATCTAAGCACGCTGGTATTTCCTGATCAGTCAGAACCTAATTAAAGCTCATTATCCAGAGACACACAAGAAAAATTGAAAAAGCTACAGATATCAAATTTTATTTAGGTTAGCTGAGGGTGTGTATTTGGCTCAGGATTGCTTATCCTTGAATTTAAAAAAGAGTGACTGCAAATAATATTAAAGAATAGGAAAAGTAGTCAATCCTTTTAAAAGTGTCACAAATTTTGAAAACACTTGTATAAATTGTGTGAACTTTGTATAGCCTTAAAGGGGCATCATTTAGTTACCATGAATAATGATATCTGAAAATATTAGTACTTCACCCTAAAGTTTACATGCATCATGAATGTGCTTATATTTAATTTCAAGAGGGTATCAAAAGTGATAATGGTTAGAAAAATATATACATTTTTGTCTCTTCTAGAAAAAAACATGGTCATTTGAAGTAACTGTGAAATAAAATACTAAAATATCCCCTCCACAGATTTTTTTCCACAATCCAACATAAAATGTAAGTTTATATACAGCTTATGCAATCTGTCATTTTTAAAACATATAGCCAAAGGTTTTTTTAAGTACAGAAAAACATAATGTTACTGCTCTCTAAACTCTTGGCTGCACCGATGGTCTGAACTCGGGTAGACCTGTGCGGTGTCAAGAGTTGGACTTGATGATCCTTAAGGGTCCCTTCCAACTCAGGATATTCTATGATTCTATGATGCATGATTGTTTAGGCAAGCCAAAACAGAAAAGCCACATGGTGATACACAAAGCAATCGTAAGAAAGGTAAGGAAAAAATGGAAGAACACAAGAACAAAAGAAAGCGTACTGGTTAAGGTAACATCGAGAGGAATAGTAGCCAATAGTGGAATACGTGGACTGTCAAGTAACATGCAGTAATTTCTACAGGAAGAAGAAAATATATTCCAAGTATTAAAAGGACACTTTCATGGTACTTCACATTTTTTTTTAGAAGTAATATTAATGATTACTGTCTACTGGAAACAGCCTGGATTGAAGTTGCATTGGACACAGTTCGTTGCTGTGCTTCAGTTAGTGGCAGTATTGAACTCCAATTGCACACACACCGAGCAAAACAAAGCAAAACCTCTACGTTTTTAAAAGCAAGCAAGATGGGAAGAAAGTTTCAAAAACCATGTGCTTTCAGTACCTGGGTGCAATGCAGTAGTCGACATGACCATGGTTTGATTAGTACTCGGTTAAAGTAATTCTGGTGTGAAGAATGATTTCAGAAGAGTAATATGGCATTTGCAACAGCGACTGACATTAAAGATACAGTGACATTCAGAATCTGAAATTCTTTAGTGTCCTTTTAAGTGCCAGCATACTAGTATCTTAGCTGCAAATGGAAAAGAACAGAAGCAGATCCTAATGAAATAACCCAAATCAAGAATTTTCGTACAATATTTGACAGAAATGAAGAAATATTTTATGGAACTAGTGAACAGAAAGAAGCATGAAGGATAATAGCAGCATATGGTTTACAGTTTTCACTTTTCAGTTTATTAATATTAGTGGTGCAGTCTGCAATGGATAAAGCGAGGGGTGAAATTCTGACAAAACTGGCAATTGTCTACCATATGTCAACACTTAATTATGGTCCTTGTAAACAGCTAACTCCTCTTTGAATTTTAATTGCAAAGGAAAGAATATTTACATATAATATATATGTATATAACCACAAAACCAAAATTAAGTCAAATCCTGATCAAGGAAATCGCATTTTGAAGAAAACATAATACAATATTAAATAGTACAGTGTCCAAAGATTTTAAAGGCATCGTGATCTTCACGTTTTCTTCTTCCAGTCATTTCCCCTTAATAGATTAGGGATTTCATTTCAGAGTAAATGAGTGGAAATATTATAGAGCAACTCCTGTAAAGTATAGCTCCACTACTGAAAAATGCTCGAGGCGTGGTAATCCAGGACTCTGACTTAAAGCAGAAATAAACAGCATATAGGGCCACAGCAAAGAAGTGCCCAATCAGTACCATTGGCTTAGGAGATAACCTGCATAAAAAAATGGAGAGATAAAATATGTACATAAAAAGAACAAAAAAAATTATTGACAAATTTTCAATTTACAAACTGAGCTGTTTACTCGAGATTACACACAACCCTCTGATGTAGGCAGCTGGGATCCTAATGTGATCTCAACTAGAAATAATAAATGAGTCTGCTTGTCCTGGAGCTGCTACACCCCCTGTATTCCCTTCCAGAGGTTAGCCACTACACAGACTACCGGACATGAAGAGAAAGCAGGGGTGTATCTGTCTTCAGCAGCTCCCAAGAGGTTACACAGATATTTACCTGTTTCTCTGTTCCTTTTGCTGACTTGTGGGAGACCTCAGCTGTCACTGCTCTCAGCTTTTCAAGCATGAAACAACTCCACCAGCTCCTCACTCAAACTCCCATGCCACCTATGTAAACTCCCTAGCTTGTAGAGAACCTTTTAAAAAAGCTTAAAAAGGCAGCGAAGACATGGCTGCAAATAACACTTCAGGCTTTAGTACAATTCTAAAAATATTGGCTCATGTTGACCGTTCTCCCCATGCAAAGTTGACTGACTGAGGGCAAAGCAGATTCTAAGCGAGGCTCACAATGCTTGATCTGGCTGACATTAACTATTATCAGCGCACTGAACTTACACAGACAGCAATCCAACAGGCCCCGAGACACATTCTCCACCAAGTCTGAAGTAATGGAAACAGGCTTTCTTCAGCTGATGCAAGGAATCTATAAAATGAATTAAAATGACTCAGCAAAGACAGTCAACAGATACTGAAAACCCTTTCAGAAAATGCAACAGAGATATAAAATCCAGGCCTTTGGCACTTTGGTAGCTGTTGCTCTGTTAAATTCAGTTGGATTTGGAGATGGTTTTATTTAAGTACAGGTTAATCTTATGGAGTATCTACATATTCCTGAATACTAACTGACACAAGAACAAGTGATTTCAGTTATTTTGTGTTTTGTTACCAATATAAACACAAACACATACTAATATGCTCCTATACATACACATCCCCTCCCCAGACATATCTATTTACCAAATTTGAATTAACCAGAATTTATCTTTAAAACATATTTACCATCTGTGGCAGCAAAAAGTTCATAAAGTGCTTGGGCAAGAACATTCACTACAAAAGAATGAGACTTTTTTCTTGACCAGTAAAATGATTTTTTTGCCTGCAAAAGAAAAAAAAACAAACACCACATCTATATCAGGCAATACAGAACAGCATTGAAGTGATTTCTAAGTAGGTGATATGAGTCATAACCCATGTGAAAACATAGAGTGGATTTAGAGATACACTGGGTATGTTCCGAGCTAGGTCATTAAGGGACCTTGGATATTTGTTAAACCAGTTATGTGGCTCCTCTGACACTGAACATAGAAAAAAAAGGGCAGTTTCAGGGTGTGCTTCATCTCATCCGATGGTAGTTGGCTGGAGTAATTCAGACACTGGAAAGATAATACTTGCTTATTTCTCCCTCTTGACTGAGAATAAATAGAAAATAACTGAAAGTCTGAGGTGATTAGCTGAGATATAGGTATCTGTGTTTGGTCAGGTAAGTTCCATATTGTCCTGACATTCCTTTTAAATGTTTCTCACTTCAAAACAAACAAAAAAAACCAACAAAACCAAACATTTTTTTTGAATAATTTATTTGTGGCCTATAATTATTATGGCTGTCATTTAGCCAAGTCAATATGCCTGCCCTGATCAAAAGTGATAAACAAATAAATCAGAAATCTTATCATCCACTGATGAGATTTTTTGGGTCTAAATCTTAGTGATGGTGCTGATTTATGGGCAAGAAGAATGTCTTCTAGCTCTCTATTGTGAGATTAACATGGCAGGCAAGAGGCTGGTGGAGCATCAAGAGGCACCTTGACAAACTAGGTGTACGTGCTCATTATTCTTTGAGCACACTCATGCAAGGTAATGGTGCAAACCCGTCCAAACCCATCCCATATGAGCTCACTCTACATTAACAAAAACACTACCAGTGCAGGAACATCAGGTACTACGCTAGCAAAGCACGATGACAAGACACAACACAGCAGCCTCCTGAAGCAAGACTGATCTGTAAGCCCTGTATCTGCCTCACAGCCATAGCACTCAGTAATCATCGCTGTTACTGACGAATGCCTAACGCATGATTTGTAAGAAGTATGAAGAGCTGTGACTCACTAATAACTTACTTGTCCCCCTGCTGCATAAAACTTTAAAGTGTGTCATCTAAAGTGGAACAGAAGTCACCTGAACAAAGTCCAAAATAAAACTTTACCTTAAGAATATCAGAATCTTCATACAGGTCTGGAATATCCTGGAGCAAGCTCCTCCATATTTTGACATCGTTTAAAACAACACTCATTCCTCCACCAGTCAGAGGGTGTCTTATATTATATGCATCTCCCAAGAGAAGAACTCCTAAGTAGAAGAAAAAGATTAATGAACTACTGCACAATCACTATATAATCTTACAACTCAAACCCTCTTACCGAGCTTATTGAGAATTCAATCCCATCAGGAAATAAGATGAATAACTAGGAACTGAGAAAAAATAAAGGGGGAAAAAAGAGATGTCCTTACTTTAACAGATTTAAAAACTTCAAAATACAAAAAGTTCAAAGTATTTTCCCCTATATGTATGCATGTGTGTATATCAAAGAATACACATACATAGAGTTCAAGGTAATTTCTTTTTTTAAAAAACACGTTTTCCTTAAAAAGACTAAACTATATAAGCATGAGCAACTGAGTCATTTAAAACTAAAAACTGAAGCAGACATTGATTCAAAGTTTTGTGTATAAATAAGCATTCTAGTTAAACTGTGCTAAATGCATACATTTTCAAACTATTATCTTTTTCATAAAAGGATGAAATAGTTGTACTGAGCAACAAGCATAGATCTGTGCAAACACGGCCTTAAGTCCCAGAAGTTTATAATGCCACCCTCCCACCCTCTTTCTTTTACGATACACACCTTTTTTGTTAACAGCTGAAGGAGGTAAGAAGCTTGCTGGCATAGTCCTTAAACGATCATTCTGAACCGCTGCTAAAAATGGTTCCTTCAGGTGATCTGCAATAACCAATTTTTTCAGTTACCCTACTTTAGTAGAATCTTAAATAATTTGCATACAACTCATTTTAACCTCTTCTCAGAGATGTAATCCTTCCAAACTTCTAAACTCATGGATGTCAACAGAACGAACTGCTATTTGATGTGGAATCTACATGAGAACAGTTACTGAAACAGGAACTGTACATATGGGAAAAAAAAACAAAAAACCAAAAACACAAATACACAGTTCATTGGATTGAAGGAAGCGTGCCTTTTTGGCAGACTCTAATTGTGACAATCATGAAAGGATTTCATAAAAGTTTTCCAGACTTACCAGGTAGTTGTGGATGAATGTTCTCAATCATATATTCTTTTAAGTTTTTTGGCATTTTCCCTCGAATATCAACAAGGACTCGAGTCTCAGTTGAAGAAATCTGATAGATTAACACTGGACTAGTTTTAGCTAAAACAAGTTCAGCATAATTAGCTTTAAACTGTGATGCATCCTAAAAAGAAACAGGGAGAGAACAGTTGAAATCAATTAATAAAAGGATGCTAAACTTCAGATATACAAAATCATTTTCTGACATACTTCAAAATAAAATCCTGTATCAATATTAAGTTCATATCCTTTTTTTTTTTCTTTAAATGAACAATGAAAGTGTTTTCAAGAAGAAAGTTCTGAACTTCTGTGTAATTACAATTCTTTTGGCAACACATTTTAATATTCATTAAAATACATTTTATATGTTTCATTTGAAAGCCTCACTAGTATTTAAAAAATGCCACTGAAAACCTGTAATGTAATCAGTGTAGTGGCTTTTCATAAGATCATTTTTACTTCTATGAAGAAAGTTATAGGAGAGAAAGAAGGACACTAAGCTGTAGACAACTACACTTCTCATGCTTAAGCATGTTTCCAAAAGTACAGAAAAAGAAGGCAGTTGTGCAGCAATAATTATAGGGATAAGGACCCCAAAAGTGCTGAAGCTCCTCCAACTCAGATTTCTGAGGCCAGTGAAAGTTCTGTAGTTTTTGTTCACTCTCCCTTCATTATTTTTTTTATTGTTAATCCAACAGTTAACACAGCAGCTTTGGAGGACAACGCAGTCAACCATCCAGCTACAAACCTGAATTCACATTTTTCCCACTCACATTTATAGATCCTGAAGGTTTATATGTATCCAGTTACAAGGTACCCCATTTTTAGGCAGAAACAGAGTTTTGGGTATTCTTCTGAGATATAAACACAGGTGGTTTGACCCACAGGATATCTGAAACTCAAGGTCTTTGCTCCCTGAACAAGTGCCATAATAAGAATCCTGTGTTACTATCTTTGGTATAGATATCTTAATGTTAACTAGTCAAAACACCCATATCCAGAGTGACAACTTTACAAAGTAGGTTCCAGCAGTGCCTACCTCTAATTCACAGATTAAAGCCAGTGCACGCATAGCAAAGGCTTATGTGACATACTGAAACATTTTTTTCCTTCAGTGTTTTTCATAATCTGCTTCAGTGCTCAGTTTAAAGTAGCTATGTTGAAACCTAACCCAGTTGTTTAACCCTCTCTTGCTCAACTGCAGAGAAATTATCTGATTAGGTTTCTGGCTTTAAGAGTAGAGTTTGGTCTTAATCCAACTTTTAACCACAATATTCATGTAAAAAGAAATATGGCTCACAGATATTTAAATGTTTTGAAAATCTGACCTATACTTTTACCAAATATCCTAAATCTGCAAGTTCAGCTATCCCAGCGATGGGACAAAGTATACATCAATAATTTAAAAGTTAAAAAACAGAGATGCAAGGTTTCCAAGCACTTTTCAGTGTGGCAGAGAAACCGATAGAATAGCTGAACAAATATTTAAAAGCATTGTTCTAACTGATTCTGTTGAAAAACATTTAATGTTAGAATTCAAGACAGTCCTTACAACAAGGAGTCAACACTTGCTTTAACAAAGAGTGCTTAAGTCTTTCATCGAAATACTCTCTACCTACGTAAACTTATGTAACTCTGCAGTTACATTTGATTAAAGTATTTCTTGCATAAATCTCCTTTCACAGACTTCTGGACATCTCTTTCATTTCACAAAACTCTACTACAAACTCCCCTTCTGTAGGAGCTCATATTAACAGGTTCTGTAGGCACCTATACATTTGGATGGAAAAAACAACCAAACAACAACAAAAAACAACGCCACCAAACAAACAGGCCAAAGAGGTGTTGGAAAGAAAGCGTGTGAACATTTCCCAAGGACAAACAGGCAGCCAGTGGAGACCAGCAACCTGTTGATCCAGAGGAGCTAATAATACTTTATTATACACGCAGGAATACATACACCCGGGGCACTCTCCAAACACCACTCAGAAGCTCCTGGAGTATCACTACAACCCTCTGCTCCTGATTACAAAGCCAGGTTTGGCCTGCTAAGCACTGCTCCAGCCAAGCAACTTTGAAAATGAGAGCCAGGTACACGAGTGAATAACTCAGCATGCTGTACATGAATAGTTATCTGCCATTAATAACTGCAGATGAGTCTGTTATTAACAACAAACTAATGAATAAAAGGTGTTCCAATAAATGCTTACTGTGACCTGTGTACCCCCAAAACACATGCTTGGCCCCCTTTTAGGGTAAAAGCATTTTCCAAAGCTTATATACTAAATGGTGTTTTTTGGTACCACCTCGCAATGATCTTTCCAATAACACTTGGATGCTGCAAGGCCTTTGTAAGACATCAGACTCTGGGATTCTTCTCATTTCTCAGTATAGTTCACAACAAAGACAATAAAAGATTATTAAGTGAAAGCCAGGCCCGCACTAAGAAGAGGTAGCATAGTGGCTTATATGCAGTAATACGCAGAAGTTACCTTCAAAATGCAACCAACAAAATGGGATGAAACAGTAACGTTGTTGGAGACCAGGTTCTTTCTAAATTTGGAGAAAAGTCCATCCGCTACAACAGTAAGAGGTGCATGAAGTTCCTGCAGCATAATAGAAAGACAGGATATTTTCAATTTTGTTTCAGAACAATGGGAAACAACACTCAAGCCCTCCTTATCAGTTGCCTGTTAGATGCTCTTCAAAACAATAAGCATGTAAGAGGTCCACAGACCACACCTATAAAATGTCTGTTAGAAATAAAATACTTTTGCTTTCCTCATCTTGATATTAAACTATTTATTCTGAAATTTAGCCCAACAATATTCTTCAGCTTTTTTAGATATGCAATCACATAACACAGTTATGGGGACTGTGTCGGAACTCTGATAAAATGGACAAGAAAATAGAATAATTGCTTCACTCAGCCTAAAATCGTCGTCAGGAAAACAAAAACCAAAGTGCAATAAACCAAAATGCAGTCAACATGCCCAGATCTTCATTAAAAGAACAAGCAGTGGACTCTGAACAGTTCCTAGTATACTTAGAATCTATAAACAGAAATACTGTATATAGAGAAAATACAAAATAAAAACTGAGTAAACAGATTAGGTTCAGCCTGAATGCATGCACAAATTCCTAATGTTTAATGCATACACTATTCCCTAGCACGAGTGAATTATTCTGTTTTTTAAAACATATTTTAAAGCATTTTATTGTTATGGTAATGTAACACCAGAATGAGAAAGCTTTTACAGGTAGATGTTTCTTCCCTCTATGTACAGCGTTCTCATTGCCATTTGCAGTTAAATCACTGAATATAATGACTATAGATTTGTCATGAGCATTAGTCCTTTGTCTTCACACACTTGGCATGAGCAGAAAAAATATTTTTTCTTTTAAGCTTCCAGGTTGCAAGCAACAAGGCAAAAAAAAAAAAAACATGCCATGCTTCATTATTACTATTGGATAAAAGTGTCTGGTGAGGCACTGTGCTGGTTTTACCCAGTTGGGCAGCCGAGCTCTGCCATAACCGCTCTCCTTCTCCCCTTCCTCAAAGGGAAGAGGGGAGAAAATACAAAGGAAAGGGCTCAAGGGTTGAAATAAGGACAGAGAGATCATACAACAGGCGTCATCACGGACAAAAGAGACTCACAGTAGAGAGATTATAAAATTTATTATCTATCATTAACAGTCTAGAACAGTGAGAGATTAAAAACAACTGAAAACACCACCCACCCTCTTCCACCTCCTCCCCATGAGCACCACAGGGGAACGGGAATGGGGGCTGCGGTCAGTCCCTGACACTTCATCTCCGTTGCTCCCTCAGGGTCCCTCTCTGCCCCTGCTCCCCATGGGGTCCCTCCCACGGGATGCCGTCCTTCCTGCACACGGCTCTGTCCCACGGGGTCCATCCCCCAGGAGCAAACTGCTCCAGCACGGGCCCCCCACGGGTGCCGGCAGCTCCCCCCAGCCCCCCTGCTCCTGCGTGGGCTCCTCTCCACGGGCTGCAGCTCCGGCCCGGGGCCTGCTCCTGCGGGGGCTCTCCATGGGCCGCAGCCTCCTCCAGGCCACATCCACCTGCTCCACCAGGGGCTCCTCCACCCATGGGGGGGCTGCAGCGTGGAGATCTGCTCCATGTGGGACCCACGGGCTGCAGGGGGACAGCCTGCTCCACCTGGGGCCTCTCCACAGGCACCAGGGGAGCTGCTGCTGCCCGCCTGGAGCACCTCCTGCCCTTCTGCTGCACTCACCTGGGGGGCTGCAGGGCTGCTTCTCACTCCTTGCTCTCCCAGCTGCTGTGTCACAGCAGGTTTTTTCTTTCCCTTTCTTAAATCTGCTCTCACAGATGTGCAAACATCACTTACTGCCTTGGTTCTGGGTAGTGGTGGATCCCTTTGGAACTGGTTGAAACTGGCCCTTATCTAACATGAGGCAGCTGCTGGATGCTTCTCACAGAGGCCACCCCTGCAGCCCCCTCCTACCAAAACCTTGGCCCGAAAGCCCCATGCAGGGGCTTGTAGATGTGAATTGTACATCTACATGGAACGAGCTCCTCTAAGAGCAGTTCTCTCCTGCAGAGCAGTGGGACTCAGTCACTTGTGTGTCATGATCTTTACAACTTTTTCTGTGTGAACTTGGACAAAGTGAAAGTAGAGCTGAGTAAATATATACGTAATATATATTTTAAAAATGTATTTATATCCCTGAATAATATACGTGTTTCTAGTCCCTGAGCTTACAAAAGTGAGTTCAGAAACAGCCCATGAGACAGAGCTAACATAACCTCTTTCCTATTGCAAGCTCTAATTATTCCTGCAATTAGAGCAAGGTCTCCTGCCCATATGGATTCCCTGTTGTTTAATGAGCTGAATACTCATACTACAGTTTTTCCACAGTCAACATACTGAGACCTTTCCTCTGTTTAATTGCCTCTTTTTGATAAATTTTATAACTTGGCTTTTATCATACTGGCTAAATTAAACCTCAATTAACAGAACAAAAACCTAAAAGGTAATTTGATGGAGACTGGGGATGTGGAGAATAGAATGTCACAGACATACAACATACATTAGCCTCCTTTCCTTAGGAAAGCAGGCTAAGAAACAGAAACAGGCTCTCCCCCACCCATCCTGTAAGTAGTTCCCCAGCTGTAAAAATTAACAGATGGTGTAAGAAATTTCTGATAAAAAATTTTCTGTGTTTCCCACATTTCCATAATCAAAAGCTATACAGGGCAGCAAATAATATCACTCTTTCCAGCCATGGAACATCAGCATTCAAAGCAAAATGTGAATTTGCATATCCCCATTGTACAGATAGGAAACTCAAGGCTTTAAGAACAACATCCATGCTCTCAGAAATATTATCAGCTAAAACACTGATCACCCTACCACTGGTCACATAGGTCATATTTAAAATTACAACAATAAAATCCATAAATGTGTTTTATGGAAACATTTTATGTGAAAATTTCCATTTTCATTTCTAAATGATCTAAAGATGAGAGATTTCATTAGCAATGCCTAGAACTGAATCTGCCAACTACTCAGAAGCTTTCTGCATCTTGTACACAGGGCAGCAGAGCACAGACAGGAGATTCCTGCCTCCCCCATCAGAAGACACTTAGTACATAACTTTAGGCAGCAAAGGAATTTTAAAGCCATCAAAGGGGAAACTTTCAAATTCGGCTTTTCTAGAGAATAGGCAGTATATACAGAACTTCAGAACTAGTCTCTCCTAAAACTTTTTATTATATTTTCACTCAGTTTCATAGCATTTAGGCAGCAATTTAGTGTTAGTTGGGGCAAAAAACAATCACAGGCAATTGAAATAGGCCAGAATTCTCTTTCTGTGATTCAGGGACTGGACACAACTATATTCTGACCTTTAGACACCTCAGTCAATGGTGGAGGTATACATGGAAATGTAGACCACTGTGTACAGACAAAGCATCAATTGCTTTTTCCATCAGTAACTTTCAAAAGATTTTAAGCTCCAGACATACAAATACAGAAGAAAAAAAAACAAACTGAATTCTCCAGAGACACTGATATCAGAAGCTGCACAAGAAGTTATAAAAAGAATTCCCATATGCCAGGACTGCATCCCCTAGAAAGCAATCTCCCTTTATTAAAGCTTTCACCTCGTCGGTAATTGCAGTTTCTCTGCACCACTGATCTGGAATAGCAGTATTTCTAAAATGCTATATACATATAATTCTACTCCCACAACAGTTAAACAAAGTTCAAAACAGAAAGCTGTCTCACCTTAGTATCTCCAGTTTCTTTGTCCTTGTACTGAACACCCACAACGCAATCATCTTCTTCAAGCAGTTGTAACACAGTCCCTTCAATGAATTTTGCGCTGGAGTAAAACAGAGGAGTTAGAACAGAAGGGAAGAGGATTAAGGACACATTTCAAGGCACTAGGCACAGAAGAAAAACCTGATTTTCACTAATCTCTGCCAACACATTTTTTTTAAATATTACAAAGAAGTGTCCTCAACCACTATTCCAAAGCCATACTAAGTGTCAAAAAGTGCTTCTCATTAATTTCAGTTCACCATGGCCATTCGGCTTGACATATGAGGATATTCTAAAACCATAATGCTTAATGTAAACACCCTGCCACTTGGCAGAATCCCCAGTTTTGCCTTAGGTGCTCCATGGCCATGTGAGAGACACAGGGAGGAGTCTGACACCTAATTACAGTCAGAAGTCAACCAGCTGAGTCATCTCTGCTGAACAGTGGGAAATGCTGACACTCCAAGTGCAGCCTAACTCCAAGAGGAAGAGAAGAGCAAGATCCAAAGCAGCACTGCAATAATTAACAGGAACCTAACTTTAAAATTTAGATGATTTGGGACTATTCTTTGTGAGTTCTGTAAACTATCTAACCTGTTTAGGACAGAAACATAAAGATCTGATAACGCTTATGATCAGAGTTTGAACAGAGCATCCCTTGCATTTTACCTCCCAACCAGAGCTATCTTGGTTTCACAAACTATGTTTCTGCCCACTTAAATCCCTTGCGGGGTCTGAGCTGTTAGACCTGATCCCAGCAGTTCAGGCCAGCTTGAAACAGACACTCTCTACTTCACAAATATTTTCATACCCATATGGAACACAGCTTCAAGAAATGAGATGAAGACCCATATGAGAATATGACAGCTTGATATTTTAGGCTCTCAAAGGAAACACAAGTGATTGAATTCATGTCTTTGCTACAGCTGGCCACCACAGAAATTTCAGAGCAGATCTCCCACATCCCAGCTGAGTGCCCTAATCCACATGCCAGTTGTACCAAAATTTCTTAGCCACGCTTGGGCTTCATAAGCAGTTCATTTTCCTAGGCATTCCCAGAGTACATCTATCAAATTAAATCTCACAAGTAAGACGTGGAAGTGACCATCTGAACTTTTCCAGGCAACAAGCGGGTGGGCTTTATCAAAATACGAATGGTTATGCATAAGCACACCAACAGGAACTTCAACAGCAAGGGAATGCAGCAACCAGTTAGTTAACTGCAGATGAACCAGTTCTGTGGATCCTACTAGCTTTTAGATTTCTTCTATAGCTGTTACGTCATTTATTGAAGTGCTTACTTCCTTTTCTGATTCTAATCCACTAAAAAATAATTAACTAATGATGCCCTACCTCTTTTCTCTGTGGAATCAATTTTACTTATCTGAAATTAATTCATATTGCTTAATACAGATAAAGAGGACACAGAATCATAGAATTATTTTTATAGTGGGCTAGAATCAGAAAAAGAAGCACTTTAATATATATTTTTATATTTCTTTTATAGTTGTTATTTATTTATCAGTAATTATTCCCTATATTTTCATAACTTATAAGATGAAAAAGAAAGCTTCGCAGCACTATTAAGAGTATTTGATCTCCCCTGAGCCTTGATTTAATATGCAGTTTTCTGTGCTATAATGAAAATGGAAAGCAAACATACCCAAAATGAACATTAAATAATGTGTGGAAGAAGGGGTGAAGATTGAATTCATGACTCAAACATAATCTTTTAAGCAGAAATTTATAAAAGCTTATGTACAGCTCCTGGAGTTTTCTGCAAATTCAACAAACTGATGTCCAAATTTCAATGATCTTGAAGCCTTAAGAAGAAAGCTTTACCTTTTATCACTAGTAAATGCAATTGCTATTGATTTTAACTGTATTTCAGAGATGCTGTATTTTAGTGTTAATAATTCATATCACATAAAAGCTATGATAAGAGAAAGTAATTTTCCAGCTCAGAATAAAGACATGCAAAGTAAAAAGAAGATAATGCCTTGTGTTTTTCTCTGGTAAGCAGTATTTATGGAAAGAAAAACAAACAAACAAACAAAAAAAACCAATACCTAATAGAAACAGCATCCAGAATCTATTCCGTTTTAAGAAAAGTTACCTTCTATCTCTTTTATACAAGGAAGTGATCAGTTAAAGTGGAAATACCAAACACTACTTTTTACTTCATTGTGAAGAGGAGGCATCTTCAAGATTCTAAAATGCAGAGGTTACTGGCAGTAGCTCTTTCCAGGTATTTAGCGCTCCTTTCTAGCTATTTTGCTTGACTTCTCGTTAGCAGAATAAGCAGAACATGAAAATGTAGACTAAGTTTGTTCTCTTGCATCATAAACAACACCTCTGGAAGCAATGACACCAGGTGTATCATACATTTCATTACCAAAGAAGTTCTATGCATTGCTCCTTGAGAAGAGGTTGCTGCTTCTGGTAAATATCAAACCCAAGAATCAGAAGAAGAGAATCAGCTTTTAGCCCTGGACTATTCTCACACATTGACAGGCCAGCATCTTGCCTCATATTTAAAGCCTATATTCCCATAAGTCTTACGATTAACTTATCCCAAAGGTGAACGTATGAAGTATTCTCCATTCATGGGTCTGTCTACAGAAAATAGAAAGAGTAACTACAGCTATCACTTTGTCTCAGTCTCATCCACTGGAGCCCTCTGTGTTGGGACAGAACAAGATGGACAGGGAACCTCTCTGACCCAGGGAACAGTGCTACAGCATCTCAGGATCCAGCCCATGACATTCACTACCACAATGAGACTCACTTGGGCTCCGCCATAGCTGCCTTTCGGAGCCCCATGATGAACTTGCCATGATGAAAAGACCTTCCACTGACAACACGGCCATCTTCAGATGTTGGATAAGGAATTTCAACCTCCGACTTGGTCTCTATGTCATGAATTATGTAGCCATTTACTGTTTGTGCATCAATATCTTCTACCGTATCTGCAAAATAAAAGCCAACAGAAGAGTTTTAAAAAGCCTTTTAAAAGCTTGATTATGTATTATAAGTTTTTATTTATGTAAACTCCCATTTTCTTTATAAAAACATAAACAATTGAGGAAAGAATATTTTAAAATGCTTTTAATTCAATTAATTTTAATTTGAATATACATCACAGATAATCTGTTTCTTCATCTTCCCCGTAGGCATGCTTTTTCTAAAAACATAGTTGAGTGCAGTACCTGTTCTGTTATAGATAAAGGTACGGTTTGAAATGCACTCACCTTCAAGACCCAAGTCTCTAAGTGCATTGAAGCCTCCAGGTTGCAACAATTCTCCAACTATCCTGTCGGGTTCTTTCAGATCCCTCTCAATTACAGTCACTTTCCTTCCATCCCGTGAGAGCACTGCGGCCAAGGAAGAACCAAGGACACCCGAACCCACGATGATAATTTCTGGATCGTACTGCGGTGATAAGGCTGTATTTGTGGCAGTCTCTGTCAGATGAATGTCTGAGCAGTTTACTTCTATTTTACCCTGCAGAAAAGAAAGACAAAGTTACATGTGCTGATAATATCTGCATCAAAACCTTTCCAGAGGGCTGACCTTGGACTAGTTCTACTTTCATCCTGCAGACTGAGAGCTTTTGTGGTTGGACAGCAGCTTCCTGTTTAAGTTTTGTTTAAAATGAGACCAGTCACACTCGACAATGCACCAAAAACAAATCCTAGAATCGTTTGGGTGGAAGGGAACTTAAAAATCACCTAGCTCCAACCCCCTGCCATAGGCAGGGACAGGTTGCTCAAATCAAGCAGGGAAAACAAAACAAGCAAATTAAGACTATCAGGGAGTGTAGTGATAGGACAAGGAGAAATGGCTTTGAACTAAAAAAGGGTAGATTTAGATTAGATGTATGGTAGAAATTCTTCACTCAGAGGGTGGTGAGGCCCTGGCACAGGCAGCCCAGAGAAGCTGTGGATGCCCCATCCCTGGAGGTGCTCAGGGCCAGGCTGGATGGGGCTTTGGGCAACCTGAGCTGGAGGGAGGTGTCCCTGCCCAGGGCAGGGGGGTGGAACTGGGTGGGCTTTAAGGTCCCTTCCAACCCAACCCATTCTGTGATTCTAAGATACCTGCTTAAAACTGCCATCCCAATCAAAGAGGAACCATTAACATAACCATGGTCTCAGACATCCTCAAAGTCAAGTTCCTACAAAAGGCAGTAAACCAAGGCCGCCCCATATTCTTGATCTATGAAGTAATATTCTACTGCCTTCGTATCAGTGAGTTCCTACTACATGGCGGACTTTGCACTGAGCAATTTAAAAAATTACCATATCCACTGGAAAATGTATTTTTCTGATTTTACTGTAAGCAAACCTGTGTGTCAAAAAAAACACCACACCATTAATGGAAATACTCAGCATGGAAAAATGTCAGGAGAAATTGCTATCTGGGAAACGTTATAAAGAACTGGTCCTAGAATGAAAGCTCTTCAAACAGTCAAAAATACGTGCAAAATTACCATATTGCATGGTACAATGGCCTACATTTACCTGCCCAGATTTGACACACTTCACATTACACACCAATTAACGTGTACCTGGTACCTGATGGCCAACTATGTTGTAGTAAACTCATAGCAATATTTAATCACTCAGTCTTCAAAGTGAGAAAAAGTTCCAGCACAAACCTGCAAGTTGTTTCTCCAGCCACTAGAATGAAGCCTGGAGTCCAATCCACTCTTTTACAAATGCCTCAGCACTTCATTGCTGACAGCAGTAAAAATACGATTACATCAGTGAAATGAATGGCCAGAACAACACAGACACCAGGATTTCTAGGGGCATTGTGTCATGTTTATACCTACCACTCAGCAAGGGCGTGCAAAAATAACAGTATGAATTTGAGCAATGCAAGAAATGGGGGAAAAGGCAGGCTTTTAGCAGCAAAATCAAATAAAATCCAGGACCTACCAAAAAATTTCATAGGGCACGCATCCAAAAAGTTTCAAGTTCTTTTGTGCAAGGGGTCAGTGCTCAGCTGAAACATGCCCAGAAGTGCTCAGGCAGGTAGCCAAGCAGTGCTGACCCGCAGAGGTACTGCATATGCATGTCAGGGTGCTCTTAGATTGCAGCACCGCTGCCAAACCCCAGCTCTCCCCAGTGCTCCCAGCAAGCCTGGTGAGCTGGGCACAGCTCACCAGACTGCCTACTTGAGCTCGGGCTCTGTGATATTGTGCAAGCAATAGGAAGAACAGGAAGAATAGCAGGAGCTCCCCAATAAATGTATCTGCAGCTCTCCAGACAAACGTGCTGTATGCAGAAATATTAGGATGGTGACTGCAGAATCCCAGAATGGCTGAGGCTGGATGGGATGGAGCTCTGGGGACCATCCTCAAGCAGGGACACCCAGAGCAGGGTGCCCAGGTCCACGTCCAGGCAATTTTTGAAGATCTCCAATGAAGGAGACTCCGCAGCCTCTCTGAGCAACCCGTGCCAGTGCTTGGTCTGTACAGCAATGCTTCCTGCTGTTCAGATGAAACCTCTCGTGTTGAATTTGTGCCTGTTTCCTCTTGTCCTGGCACTGGGCAGCACTGGCTCTGTCCTTGTTATACCTTCAGCAACGCGTACACGTCCTCCCACGAGATGCTCCTCTCTAATCCCCACCACAGACCTCCAGTCGAACCTACCCTTCTGCTAGTCCCAAAACCCCCTTACTACAACCCTCCCTTCGAGCAGTCTCACACCAGTCGACTTCACAAAACCCCAATAAACGAGTTTCTCCCTTCCCTTTTCCCCAAAAAAACAACACTGAGCATGACCCACCAGCCACCCGGGGGGACATCAAGCCAAACCCTCCCCAACCCTCGCTGCCACACCAGCAAGGTGAAGCCATCCCCACCCCACATGCTGCCACCCCCCAACCCTATTTACCTTTCGGGCTTCGGGGGCTTCAAACCTCCGAGCCCCAGCGTTGGGCTTGGCCCAGAAGAAGCCAACGAGCGGCAGAGCCGAGAGGAGGTCGGAGAGCATCCCCGGGTGGCTCTTCTGCCGCTGCTGCTGCCTGGGGCCCCCGAAATGGTACCTGTAGGACAGCAGCAAGCCCAGGGAGAAGAAGAGGAAGGCGGAGAGCAGCAGCTCCTTGTTGGCGTAGCTCAGCAGGTCCCCGCACTTCTTGTACACGTAGATGAAGGAGGCGATGCCCAGGAAAGTCCACATCGCGCCCCGGGGCGGCTTCCCCCTGCAGCCGTTACCGCCGGCTGGTGCTCCCCAAATTAATTGATTAATTTATTTATTTACTAAGGGAGATATTAATTAGGGAAGCGGAGGCTTGCGGTGCGATGGAAGGAGGGGGGGAATGCAGCGAGCGCAGCCCCTGCTCCAAAAGGGGATCCTATAAAAACCTGCCCTCGGATGTCTTCTTAAAAACCCCAAGGACCTGCACAGCACCTGTGCTGCATTCCAAAAAAAAAAGTAAAATAAAATAAAATAAAATAATAAAAAATGAAATTATATATATAAAAAATAATTCTTGCAGCACCTGGGCTGCCGCAAGGGATGCTCACGGAGCTCAAGGCTTCTGGCTATGATGATTCCCTGCCCTAATCTGGCTGTGGGGCCGCCCCTTTGCTGTGGCCAGCCTGCCCCTATCCCCTATCCCCTGTCCCCTATTCCCTGTCCCTTGCCCCCTGTCCCTGTCCCCTACCCCGGTCCCAGCCGGGGGGGGGGGATCAGGGGTGGGAGGGGGGAGCGGGCTGGCGCCAAAGTGGGCGGGGCTATGCTAATGAGCCTCTAGCCCCGCCTCCCCCTCGGCACCGCGCGCCCCGTGCCCCAGCGGCGGCTGGCCAATCGGCGGTGCTATGCCGAGATGGCGCTATGGCCCGGCGCCCAATCAGAGGGCGCGGGGGGCGGGGCTTGCGCTCGCCGTGCGGCTAGGGCGATGTGACGAGGGGAGGCGGGGCGGGGGCGCCGCGGTTGCCGTGGTGACGGGATGGAGGGGGGAGCGCCGCGCATGCGCGCTGCTGGGGGCGCGGGCCCCTCAGGGCAGGTGGAGGGGCTGAGGGGAGGGTGGGTTGCGCAGCGTGAGGAGGCTTTAAGCTTTTGTGTTATAAAAGAAATTCCTGGGCGTACGGCTGCAGGGCACTGAGAGGGGCAGGGGATGGCTGCCATCCACTCAGCTGCAAACTGAGCCCAGAAAGGTAAAGCCAAGGGATGGGGGAAAAGGATAACGTGCCCCAAACTCACAGACAGGAAGGGGAATACAGAGGTTTGGTCATTGAGTTACCTCTTGGGCAGTATGAAACCATCGCAACAAAACAAAACAAATAATCCATTTTTTAGCACTAAGTCCCTCAGGAGCAGGCACAGAAGTGGTCCTTCCTGCTCTCTGTAACTTGCAAACTGTTAACTGAGCTGAGTGTGTGTGGCAGCAAACAATGCTGAGTGTGCCTCTTGGGACATGGTACAGTGATACTCAAAAGTAATGAAGTTATGAAGCACGTCAGGGCTCCACTTCACACCGAACTGGTAGAAAAATAAGCAAAACCACGCCAACGGAACAGCGCACTCAGGGTCAAGGAGGAGATGAAACCCTTGTAGTGGCAAAATGGCACCACAGGAGTGGATTGTGAAGAGGGGGAGAACTTTTAGCAATGTCCCATGCAGTAAAATAAATAAATATATAAATAAACAAATGAATAAATAAAGTACGCTTGTATGAATAAAGGCAAAAATGGGAGCCAGGAGAAGAACGGGGTTTGGTTCATTCTCCAGGTAACTCAGGCTAAAACTAAAGATGTGTGAGGTAAAAAGGTTAAGCACAGGTTATTTATATATATGTAGATGTATATATACAATAAAGACCCTAGTTTCAGTCTCATCCAGTGATGGTGCTCGTGCCCTTAGCAATGGCATGAACTTCGGTGCAACAGAGACATCTGTAATGATAGGCATCTACTGCTAAAACCCATGTTCACAGACAAGCACAGGCTGCTTTTCCCCAGTTTGAACTTTATGTTTTATATTTAAACCTCTTGAGACTGAACCTTTTAGATACCTCTGTGCTTGATTTCTTCTGTTCAATTCTCCCATGTTCCTTAAGCCCTCTTAAAAAGCCTGTTTTAAGAACTGGGCATCACAGAGTCGCTCGGTACTTTGGAAGACAAAACTAAACCGTGTATAAGCCTTCTGGGCATTTCTTGTCAGGGACCAAGCATGAACAGCAGCACAGTTTTTAAGTTAAAACATTTACTAGAACCAACACCATCCTTCCATCCTTCTGAAGACTAAGACAGGTAAAGCAGTTTACAAGTAGGATCCAAAAACTACTGAAAATAAAAGCAGGGTAATGTAAATACCTAGTAAGAGTTGGACAAAGGACCAGTAAAATTTAAGGAGCTAATAGGAAGAAGAATGGTGTTTAAGGAAACTGAAGCAGAGTGGTGTGAATGAAGATGCTGCTATGATGATTTTAAGGTTAGAGTCAGTTCATGCTTCTTTTTATCTCAAATACCAAAAATCCATGTTAACCGCCAACCTGGATCCTGATTTATGCAGCCGGAAGGTTATTTGCATCAACTCCCTGGTAACATGGAAATGTGATCCACTATGGAAAACCAACTTTCTGTCCTGTCCAGGTCATGCTGTGGACACCCGAATGCTGCATCTGAGACAGAGGAGAAGGCAGTAATATATGGCTGGTAAAAAACTGAGCGTGGGTTCTCTTCTGCTGCAGGTAGTAATTAGCTCTTATTAGTGAATAACAAAACTACACACTTGGTCTCCTTGCACCCAGGCAAATGTTGATGAAATGCTTGTGCAAAACGTCTGCCAGGATTATGTAATTCCTGAGTATTTTTTTCTTGATACTTCTGTTCAGAGTAAATCAAAACAATTACAGGATTCTGGTTTTGAATACAATGCTCTCAGGTGCATCTGTTGGAGGCTCAGAGGAGCTCTGAATGTTTCCAGCCATGGCATGAAATGTGGATGGCTCCTCACTGTCTCCTAGTTTACTCTCACTGGACTGGCTATGGTGAAGAGCTTGACACAGTTACATTTCTCCATTTTCTGTAAGAAAGGACTAACTTCTGTTGCTTACATTATTGTAAATAAGAGGGTATTCCTGTGGATTTCCTATTTTCCAACATTACAAAACAACTTGCTATTTTGTTCTGTATTTCTATGTGTTCTTGACCTTTGCTATGAATTTTGTTTCTAGAATAAGAAGCTTCTTGCCTCAGCTGTGAAGCACTGTGAAGATGACTGCTGTGAAACAGCATTTAATGATCCAAATTTCACAGCAGCAAATACAGACAGGCTGGAACAAGAATTTCTAAAATTGGAGAACTTCACAACCAGGAAATAAAGGCACCTGAGAAGAGTTTGGAGCAGACTTTTCTCTTCACTCTTTCCCAGAAGCAGCTTCACTTAGCAAAATGCAGTTTTCAGACTTGGACAGCCAGCTGTTGACAGCGATGTGAAATTGGAACAACCAGAAAAGGTTGGGCAGAACTCCAGGGTATACAAAATAAATAATTCCATTAAGGTAGACTTTGCTGGTTTTACAGAAGCAGGCTTCATAAGAAAGACATCCTAGATGCCAACCCATAATACTCAAGACAGGACCCAAGTGCATGATCACAACTACCCTGGCAGTCCATGGATTAGGACCAATATCCAATTCTGTTGAGAAGTTGGATAGTTTAATTCATTTTTTGTAACAAATTAGAGCAGAACAGTTGGGTGTTTTCTGGATCTGATCACAAGAACTCTGCAGATGTTTTGAGTCAGTTTTTAATAAATGTCAACAAATAACAAGAAACAGGAAAAACATTGTCAAGTATAAATGTAACACATGAATTGGAAATCCACTAAAAATACTATCAAGCACATTATGAAAATTCATCCTCATGACACACTTTATTTTTAAAGTAGCCGAAGAGATGCTCAGCAATATCTTGTCTCTCTGCCAACAGGTACATTGTAAAATGTTTTGTCTCTTATTTGTGCATAATTCAGGAATTAAATCCAGTAGTTCTTGTGTTCTTTGCACAACATTTAAGAGGACACCTCTTTAGGGGCAAATCTGTAGCACCTGGGGAGCTCAAGTTATAATTTAAAGTTATAATTTAAAGTTTCCAGGGCTTGAGGAATACAGGTATTGTACAGGCTGTCTGTGGTACAGGAGCAGCCACACCACCCCTAGTCAGCCCCAACAACCACATCTATAGGCACTGGCCCCTTAGTGGGCTGGAATCAAGCTACCCATTTTTGTATCACTTCTAGGAGATTGTACATCATGATTTTTTAATATATTATCAATGTGTTTAACTTTTTTTTTTTTTTTTAAATGATGAAGAGTGGGCCAGTGGTCAGTCAATGATATCTGTAATCACAAGTTCACAATCACAAGTTTCCTTTTGAGCAGTTACACGGCATTTAACAGAAATGCAGCCTCTGCCGTGCCTGCCTCCACGTGGAATCCAAACAGTTCTTTCTCTTTACAGCAGACCAAGCTTGGTTCCCAGTGGCGATTTCTCTCCATCATTTGCTCAGACAGCAGTTTGTTTCTCCATAGCCAGTGATTAAATTCATCCAGAAGACAATCAAGTCCTCAAGAAATGAACAATGTTGAAGCAAGAGGTGCACAAGATGTATAAACCAGAAAGCAGCTCATACCTGTGAATTCCCATGAACTGGAATTGCAAATTACACATCGCCAATAACCCAGCCATTCACTATAATTTCACAGGTGAGCTCTAGAGGTCAGAGAGAAAAGACAAATGAAATAAGCTGAAGGGAGCAGTAGAGAGAGCTTAGCAAATAGGAAAAAATTCTTACGAGGCAGGAATTAATCCCCACTGACTTTGCTGCGAGTGAACTTTTCTTGCAGCTGAGCAAACTTACTTCCCAAGAGAGTTGATTGCTACATGCTAAACTGCTTGCCAGTAAACATGTTTTACATATAATTCATTTAACATCTATAAATGTCAAGGATAGGTAAAGTTTATGGCTGGAAATTATGGGTTGGAAATGTCAATAAAAATGGGGGCAGCCTTTAATTACAGTGTCTGGAGGGGCACATTACAGCAAGATGCCTGCCCTGCAAAACTTGGTGGAGAGCACCCACACAGCTGGCAAGCTGCATTTAGCTGATCTTTTATTTTTATTTTTTGATGAACCAAGGAGTGTCTCTTTTGCCTTTAGGTATGCAAGAT